ATATATGTATAACATGGAGGCTAGGAAGCACGTAAGACGAGTGCAGCTCTTCTAACGGTAATTCCTTTAGACCAGTACCGCAACTTGTGCAACCCAGAAGAGTCGATGCTTCTGCTGCCGCTGTTTCTTCTGTTACCGAACGCTACGACCGACCGGCTATCTCGAGAAACGAGCCAATCATCCGTCCGCCGCTTCTTTCCTCTCGCTCCCTTTTCCTTTCTTCTTCTTTCTCTCTTTTCCCTCGACTACGCGAGAGTTCGTTCCGATGCGGCGGCCGAGAGAGGGAATCTCGCACGAGNGGGCAAGGGACTGCGGCCAGGAGATGTCGACCAGGAAAAGTAACAGTAACCTTCTCGTCCCGTGCTGCTACCGTGAACTTGCTCGACCTCCTTGCAATTACCTTGCGATCCTTGACGCTTCGATCGTGCATCCCTGCGCCACGTTAATTATTGCCTCCTTCGCTTCCTTCTTCTCCATAGACTCTTCTCTCTGTTCCACCTTCCAACCGGCCGAAAATATTTGACGAGGGAGAGATGTCGCGATCACAGATTCGAAAACGACACGTTCATCGCTCTCTTCTTTTTCCACGAGCGTTTACATTTAGATCGTTTGGCCGACGACCAAAGCTCGCGGTGACGGCTCTCATAGGCGTTAGACAAAAGTACCGGGCTCGATCGAGAATACACGCAGTGTCGGGTTACAGCGACTCTCGAGTTCCACCGTTCCGTCCTTCGATCACGCGGAATTATTGGTATCCATGCTCATTTCGTCTAACCGTCCAATCGTCTTTTTTGTCCCTCTCGCGGCAAAAAGAGCAAACTTACGTACGCGTGGATAACGGTCATCTACGAGCAAATTCTACAGACTTTTTTTCCCAACTATGACTTTCAAGAATCCGTGGTTCGTTCCTCGTCCGTAATTGGCCGAGTACAACGACGAATGGGGAATCATCCGTTTAAGGCGTGCAAATTAATTCCAAAGATTTATACTATTAGTTTCGAATTAAACTCTTTAGCAGGATAGAAATATAATAATAGGATAAAAGGCAAAAGAAAATTCTTAGTGGTTAGGAATCAATTTTAATCCCATGTTCGCTTCCTCGCTATTGATACTCTGGATGCATCTGACTTGAAATATATTATTCGTGCGCCAGACTCCATAATAGATGGAATTGTTTGTTTCGCGTTTTCCTCTACTCGGATCGAGCCACCCGTCGACACTCGCCATTACCATCAAAGAGAGAAAGAGAGAGAGAGAGAGGGGGAGAGCTCAAACTCGCAGGAACATTTTCCGCTTCCATCGCGTCGTAGATTTCACGTTTATCTCGAAACTAGTTTTCCGATTTCCTGTCGCTCTCGAAACGAGTCAACGCTCCTCCTCCGCGCCACGTTTATTCAATAATTTACGCGAAAGTGGAGGAGGAAACGTTCCAATTTTAAATACTTTGGACGAAGAAGGATCGAACTATATACGTTTCGAACGGGGGCTTCGTTCAAAGGCAATCGCGTCGAGAAAGTTCAACGACGATACGGCCAATTGGCAATTGCATCGTCTGATAACATAATGGACGGAATGGACGGACGGATGCGTGCACGCATTTGTCGCATCTACGCGGTGCGTTTCGCTCTGGTTATAAGTGGTGAATGGACGTGGTGGCATGGCGTTTCACTGGCGTACAGCTCTTGGTCGAATCAGTAGTAGGAAGAGAGATGGGGATTAAATTATGGAGCGGCTCAATGGACGGAATAAAATGCGTTAAATAGGTTCGAGCTGGTTGTTACTCGCGGAGGTGTCTCTATCTTCCTTCGTTCCTTCGAGGGTTTGTCAAGGATTTATCAATCGTATTTAACGCAGAATTCCGGTTCGTTTCGTTTCGAACAAAATATTCTCTGAAGATTATAGAACGCGAGCGTTTTATAATAATCAAGCGTTGCGGTCAGCTCTGATCGAAACATGTTTGAGAAGAGACCAGTCTTGACTTTGGATATCGATCGAATGTTTCGTTCTAATTAATTATCGTATATATTAAGAATTATTAAAGAAATACGCGAGTGTATCGATTTAAACTATCGCATTCGTTCCAACAATTTATACTGAATTTAAAAATATTATTTTCGATCAGAATTTCGGAATAATTATCGCGTATTAATAATAACAATATTCTATACGTTATATCGAAGAAACGTTGCCGTTTTAGCTTTGAAACGAAGCGAACCGAAACGCTCCGTGCTCGAACGTATAACACAAACCATTAATCGCTTCCTTCAGATACATGGAACGATGCGATAATTTATACCTTTCGTGAAAATCCGACGATCGACTCTTATCCTTAACCTTGGAAATTCGCGCGTATTTACACGCTCTTCCATTTATCGTACACGTATAATATAATAAAAAGAAACATCGAACAAATAAATTTTCTTCAATCTGATCGACTCGCTCGACATCTTTTTCCTCGATTATCAATTTCTCCGAAGTGCGAATTGCAAAACTTGCAATGTTTAAAATAACGACACTGGCAGTCCGCGTGTTCTAATTAATTTCGAGGAATTTGTGTGTCGGTGAAAACGTACGTGCATCGCAATTTTACTCACCCGTGTCACGACTTCACGCTCGATGGAAAGTTTTGGCTCGTAGCTCGTGTTTCGTGCGATCTCGTTTACGTTTTACAATTGAGCGCAGCGCGGCTCGATGAACGAGGGAGCGCGCATCATCATCGGAATTATTACAGCTTCCGGTGCTGTTAAGCGAATCTATAGGGTACATTGTCGCGGAAGCTGTAACTCCACGTTGCGTCATCGTCGCGCTGCATGCGTCCACACCAAACCTGCCACGTAGTAAATCCTGCCTCCGCGTCCAACCGCCCATTCCCACCGATTACTCTCTCTCTCTCTCTCTCTCTCTCTCTCTCTCTCTCTCTCTCTCNNNNCTGTTTACAGGACCGTGCTGAATTTCGTTTCGAGTCCAGTGAAGATTGAGTATTGATGGGTAAAGAAGAAGAGAAAAAAGGAAAATAAGAGAGGGAGAATCTCGAAAACGGCGATTCGAAGAGGAGAGAGAGAGAGANGTTCTCGATACGGAAATCGCAACGACGACGAGGAGGACGAGGAGGATCTCGCGTCTGGAGCGGAAATTATCGAAAATTCGAAGGAATCCTGGAGCGGGGCTGAGCGGATTCGCTGAGCTGCCAATTTGGCAGCGCGCTCGGGGCGATAAATCAGGGTTTAACCGAGACTACCTGGGCCGACCGTGTGTATATCCGCGTTCCTCCCAGCAACGCTCTGCGGTCCGCCGTTGTCACGGCCCGCCCAACGAAAAAACGTCAATTTATTCCGGCGTTCCTCGTCCGCCGGTAATAACCGTGCAGGAAGTTGACGGGTCGTTTTTGGCCCGACGATGGACGACGATGCGCTTAGCGGTATCCCGCCTCGAACGCGGAGACGTAATACCCTCTCCCTCCTCTTTTTGCCCATATCGAGGTGGGAATTTCAAGCAACTCCCACGAGGAGGAGAGGCGGAAAAGAAACCACGGCCAGGCCGTGCGAGAATGCGAGCGAGTGGAGCAAAGCTCGACGAGGGGGG